CCACTAGCATCTTTGCAAAACTCTCAGAGTCTGGATTAATTGCATTTCGACTACCAAGCTTCTCTGACCAGTCCAAAATAGAATTGAAATCCCCATACACAAGCCATGCCCTAACGATACTGAGCTTGATGTTCTGTAGGTGGTCCCACAAAACCTCTCTCTGCGACAGAATTCCTACCATACACTCTTGTTATGATGAACAACAATCCATTGCTAGGTCGAGACACCTCTGCAGTATGGGCTTGGTCATGGACATTAATGATATTAATAATATAGATATTCAGTTCCATAATAGCTTAATTCGTGATTTTTCATCTATCTTATTGAACACAAAAGAAGTATAAAAACCACACCTCTTAGACCATCTTCCTGCTAATGAAACTTACATTTTCGTTTCCAAAAGAAAGTACACTCTAACATCATGGCTTTTTATAAGATTTCGAACATCTGATGTTCAACCAGCTATATTGATTCCTCTAATATATTATGACATAATAGACATGATAAAAATTGAAGAAATAATTAAGAGGAAGAGGTTGTCCCTGGGGGGTGACCACCCCCTCCTGTTGCACAACAATGGATTTTCTCTTTGAGGTTCTTTGTGCCTTCAATGTCTTGTGTTTCTGCTCGTCCATATAGCTCTCATCTTTGATGTGGTCTTAAGAGGATAACTTGCACCTTCAGCGCCTTGTCTAGCATGGGCCTCCACAGGTGTACCAGCAACATTTGAGTTAGGTTGCTCGACATCGGCTTCTAATATAGTAGTAGTCCTATGGGTGGTGACAGCCGAGTCCCTAGCTACAAGCCTTCTCAAACGATGGATAATGGACACTAGTTCACCCGGAAACTCACGATCAACACCAGTCGACTGTGGGTCGACCCTTGCATTTCGTTGCCCCACAGTTTAGCTTCATCATCTGCAAGTTTAAGAACCTCATCTTTCTTACCCTGACCTCGTTTTATGTTTGTTGCCCCTCTACCAATAACAAGCCATTCGTCATCACTTCATGCTCAGCTGATCCCTGTAAGGTTGTTTCCTCATCCTCTGCCAATGAAAGATCATTAGTCGATTGAGGGTTATCCAATCTTGCAATTTCAATATGAGCAACAGAAAGTTGCACCTCACGATATTTTTCCATAAATGTGCAAGAGACCAGCAGCTTCCTTCTTGTCTAGGGTCAAAGACACATCACCATCAAGCATGCATGCCTTTGCTATTTGTTCTCTATTGTCTTCAAGCATGGAACATGCTTCTTATTACTTTCCAATAGTGGCGAAACTAAGCTCATACCAAGAGTAGCTTGAACCACGTTCCCACCTTCATGAGTGTTCCAAAGCAAGTGTAGGTGCGGCTATCGTCAGTATTGTCAGCATGGACGTCTTCTCTCTCCTCAGAGATATATCGAGAATTGTTTCCTTCTTCCGTATAATAGGAAAACTTGGGGTTGGCTTGGCCATTGGATGTAGAGATTGGTCGTGTAGGTAGTTCTTCTTCAATATTTCTTACCCTCATTGATGGTTGGCCTCTACTATCATCGTGTGATTTTGAAAATTGAACATCAATGTTGTCCACACCTCTTAACCGCGGTCAAGGTTGGATGTCATCGTCATCCATGGTTGACGTGGGGGGCTCTTGGGTGCCTCATCAGTTTGGGGTTGAGAGGGGTCACACTGGAATCGTTCATTCGTCACCCTGCAATCATGCTACTGCCCTTCTTAACCTGCCAAATCTCCTCACCCCTGGAAGATGGGGGGTTTCTTTCCTTGGTTGTATTGTTGGTTGTAATGGTATTGAAGATAGATCTTCTACAAAGCTCACTTTTATGTCTGAATGCTTTACATTTTGAGCACATAATAGGAATAAATTCGTAGACCACCTTTTTCCTTCTGATCCTTCCATTCAAGTTGACGAGAATTTCATCTGGACACTCCATGTCGTGCTCCATAGCCACACATACTCGGCCCTCAAGTCTTGACTATAGATGAGTGGGCTTGTCCATAAACATTGGTTTATCAATTAGGGAGGCAAGCTTGAACAAGATTTTTGGTTTCCAACACATAAGGAAAAGTTTTGGAATCGATTTCTGTAACACCAAGCATTTCTTGTTAATGAACCATGGCCCCCCAGTCATCGCAATCTCCATCTCCTTAGCCGATTGAAATCTGAACAGCAGGAAGTCGTCGTTTAGTGAGATGATCACCAACTCCGATTGGGTTCTCCACATTTTTGTGAGCATGGATTTCATGTACATCTATTCAGGTCTTCTCCCAAGGAAGTATCCAAGTAAACAGTTCTCCCACCGTGAGGCGCAAGAATTGTAGAGATCTGAATCCACCATGGTGCACCTTTTGCCATCCACCATAGTGGCTGGTTCATTGGTCATATCTTTGAAGTAGATATCCCCACTTTGGACATTGTGGTTGCCAAACAGGAAAAGGGATGAAAAGGTGCTCTGTTACCACACGTTGTTGGTGCTAGTTTTGTTCAAGCATGCCAAATATGGCCCATTCGGTGCTGAAGATGGGTCTTCCGGAGTCAGTGGTAGCACACGAGGAGGGGAACTCGGAAGGATTGAGATTCATATTAGGGACATGCCCATCCCCTATAGGTGAAGAAGGTCAGCCCTCTTGTTTTGATGCAAGTAGGTCAGTCCCATCTTTTGGGTTACAGGGGACCTGTTGTTGCAGCACGAGCATAGAGGATGACAAGACCTTAAGAATTGCAAAAGAAGAAGGCAACAAGGAAGAAGAAGGGTCAAGAGGTTTGGGTTCCATAGGGGCCACCATTGCAGTACTTGTACCCGTAAGAGGCGGAGGGAGAAGGCGGTAGGGACTCATTATTTCACGGTCTCCGCTCGTCCTACGGCAGTCAAAAGTGAGAGAGAGAGACATGCCTAATGTGCTATGTGTATGCTACACAATGATTTAAAAAATGATGTACAGCATGGAATCGTCGGGTCCAACTGGGTTTAGAAGAGATCCATCGACAATAAAATGACGTTTTGCTATAGTAAAAAAGTTGTTTTACTACAGTAAAAATTCCTCCGGACCAGTTCTTGGTAGGTGCACTATCTTTGCATGTGTTTTTTTGCTAGTTCAATATTCTTTAACGTAGTAAAATGGCAATCCGGACTGTGGATTCACAGATATAGACCGATTTTTACAATGCCCGATCCTCATCACCGATCCGTTTTTCAAATCATTGATGCTGCAGTTTAAATAAATTACCAAATAAAATCTCTATTTTTTGTAAAAAAATAGTGTCTAAAGATTGAATCGAGACCATACAAATTTTGAAATGCTAGATATAAGTATCACAAAAACTCAAATTTTATTTATTTTTTCTTTTGAAAATAATCACTTAGTAATTATTAGGGAAAATTAAGTAAATATCTGTTTTATTTTCTATTATTATTAAAATACTTAAAACTTTATGTTATTACTCATATATTCGTTTTTTGAAATTCATGACAATTTTTTTTTTAAAGATGAAAAATACTCATTTTCAGTTTTTGAAAAGTCAAAATTTTGGTTTTTAAAAAACTGAATTTCACTGTTTGTGGACTCGACCAAGTTAATTGGCATTGGCCTATGCATCGACTGTTTTATCTATATTATGTATGCCCAAACATTTAAATTTGGGGATGTCTTGGCTTTTTGGTCATCATGCATGCCTCTACACTTCACGTTAAGAGTCGTGTCCTACCACACGCAACCTAATTTTTTTCAATAAAAAATAAATATTTTTTAGTTTATTAAGAAACAAAAAAAAATGCCCATCATGGAATAGGTGGGATGTGATACCAAAACTTCTTGAAGAGGTCAGTATGATTTTACCGATATACTATTTGAATAATAATAATAATAGAACCAGGAATCGTATTATACCTAAGGAATACAAGATTTAGACCAGTTTTAGAGAGAAAAGTTTTAGTTTTTCAAAAACCAAACAATAAATAAATTTGGTTTTTAAAAAATAAAAATTTAAAATTTTTAATTTTTTGAAAATGGGTAGTTTCATCTTTTTTAAAAGAAATTGTTATGAAGTTCAAAAAACAGACATATGAGTATTAATAAAAAAATTTAAATATTTTCATAATAACATAAAATAAAACGGATATATATGTAATTTTTCCTAATTATTACGTGATTCCCAAAATTTTAGACCAAACCACTCTTCCTAAAAAGGTGTTTTGGGCGAGAGAGAATATACACAGCGTACTCCGCGGGAACATAGAATACGTGCTTAAAAGTTTTAAGACAGCACCAGAGCTCGCATAAAATGTCCTGAAGTGGATTTAGGAATACACCACCGTGGAAGCTGCGTAACTGGACACGTGGCAAACACTATATAGTTCCGCAAACAGCCGAATATTTTAAGGTTCCATCTATCCCCTCATTTTGCTTACCCGTTAATTAATTAAAGCGGCTGATTGCTTTGCTTTGATGATGGCAGGCTAAAAGCTGAGAAACTAGGGTTTCAACAAAAGGACAGGTCCCCTAGACACAGAATACTTTACGGACAGAGAGAGGGACACTGGTTCTTATAGTCCTGAGGAGAGAGTTCGTTTTAAAGGGAAACTGGTTTTTTTCGACAATAGAGAGAGACTGAGAGTGTGCCAAAGAGAACCTAGACCGTTGAAATAGAGAGAGAGAGACAATCAAAGAGAGAGATACCGCTTTTCGGGTTAGAGAGAGAGATGAACAGATTTCCAAAACGAGAAAGTGAGGTATTTAGAGAGAGAAAGTGATTTCTTTTTGAGAATCTAGAGAGAGAGAGAGTGATGTCAAAACCAGAATGTGAGATAGATAGAGAGAGTGACTGATTTCCAAGGCCTTAAGAGTGAGAGATTATTTCCAAAGAGACCAGACCAGGAAGAGAGAGAGTGGTAGAAGGAAACCAGTTTTCACTTTTCAAGACAAGAGAGAGACCAGTTTCTAGAGAGAGAGAGTGTGCGAATTTCTTTCAGGACCTCATATAAGATCTTAGAGAGGTAATAATGGGGAGAGGACGAGTGGAGCTGAAGCGTATTGAGAACAAGATTAACCGTCAAGTCACCTTCGCCAAAAGGAGAAATGGCCTGCTGAAGAAGGCCTATGAGCTCTCGGTTTTATGCGATGCAGAGGTCGCTCTCATCATCTTCTCTAACAGAGGAAAACAGTACGAGTTTTGCAGTAGCTCCAGGTAAAAACTGCTTCCCTTTCAGGTCTCATTTTTTAAAACATTTTTACGAATATTTTGAAAGCAAATTTTTTGGGAACTTTCTATGTGATATGACCATAATGCAGTGGATTTCCATCACAAAAATATATATTACTCGGATTTTCCCTTGATTGACATTAGTTTTACAAATTCTCAGTTGAAAATGGAGTTGTCACCTTCGCGTTTGGTACAAATTTGAGTGCTGTTCGATTTTAATGTGAAGATCCTCTCGATCTTGTAGTACATGAGCCCTTTTCGTTATGTACTATAATTGATTTTGATTATTCATATGAGTAGATTCGATTTCAGTTTGAAATGGAAGATATCATGACAAATCTCTTTGTAAGAAATTTAATTTCAGGTGATTTACACAGTGGAAGTTTATTCTATTTGTTTATTTCCTTCAAATTGACTGTGATAATTTAAAAATCATAGGTCTGGTTGGATCTACGTTCAAAAACTATATTATTTTATAGGAAAAAACCACAGGGAGTACAGTTAAGTATCAGAACATGGTCCCTAAAAGTTCCTGCACCTCTCTATTTCCTTAACTCGAATTTTACTTATTTTTGTCTTCGGAATACAAGGTTAATGGCTATTTCTGGATTAGCCAAATCCACAATCATGAGACATAGGAATTCAGTCCCTCATACGTCTCTTATTTTGCAAAATGCAAACAAATGGTTACAGATTCAAAATATGTGTTTCCAGATCATTGGTAGCTCATCCTTCCACCTTAGCTCAGTGATTCAACGAAGAAAAATGAGAATAGTCGATTCTATTGAAGGTATGCCATGAAAGGTTTATGTGACTGTGAACAAATTCTCCTAGAGCTTTATGAAAGTCTATACTTCTCCTTCCCCTCAAATGCCTGACTTATTCCATTGTTATGTCAAAATCATGTTTTCTAATCTTTTCGAGTCCCACTCTTTTAATCGTTTTATCTCACTAGCATTTGAATCTATCATGAATCTTTTAGATCTTTAGATAAATGATAATTATGTGAATCTGTGAGTCGGCTTACAGGGAGGAATAAGTTTGTTTTTAATTTTTTTTTTTAATTTGGGGTCTTTTCCTACGGTTTTTAAAGTTTGTTAAGTGTATATAACCTCCCTTTCAGCAATGTTATGTTCTAAAGTGAAGCTCCTGCAAACAAAATGTTTAGTTGCTCCCATGAAGACCATGAGAAGCTTAGTTGTTACTGTGTAAAGTATACTATATCCTTTAGCAGTCTGCCATAGGATTCTATTCGATGGTTCATTTTGATATTCAGTTAATAATTAGAAGGTAAATTTTGAGGTTGTTTCAATGAATTTCAGATTGAAAAATGCCATATCTTCTTATTGAACAAGCTATTTAATTTGCATGAAAGCGTTTCATGGTTTGTGAAGATTTACCATTAAACTCTTGATTGGGGTTACTTATTTCTTCTTCGTAGTGCTTATGTTTGAGTCCAGACAGCTTGCTTGCTCCGATATGTAACATAATATCATGGCGAACTATATTGGAGCTACCGCTGACTATTGGTGCCAATTATATATATATATATATATATGTGTGGTTGGATTTGTTTATGAAATTTCTTTCATATGAGGCGGTCTTAAAATGCAAAAGGAAATCCTTCCTCCCATTTCTGAATTTCTTAAGATATCAGCTAATCTATCATTAAAAATAAGATGGTTTAGCGCTCGTCCTAAAAAGAAACTCTTTTCTTATTTTTTAGTTCAGAATTGGACTTTTCTCCAGTAACGTGACTGGTAAAAGATTTAGATCTTTCCATATGTTAACTTTTGTTTGTATTTCAAAACATATGTGAAGTAGATCTTTATATACTTCATGTAAATTTAGAGAAAACTAAGATAATATCTGGGTGGTAAATTATTGTGATCCTTTAAACAATTTTATGCACAATAGTCCTTTTCACTGTGGTAGCCTTTTTCACCGTGGTAGACCTTTTCAATATGGCAGCCGCTTTTACTGCGGTAGACCTTTTCACTGCAGTGGCCACCGCAATAGACCTTTTCACTATGTTAGCCTTTTTCACTTGCGAGAAAGTTCTCCACAAGCTTTTTTAAGCTATAAGCTTGATTTCTTATGCTCATGTGGCCTAGCCTCTTATATGTATTATTTTGCTTTTGGCTGGATTTTATTCTTTTTATTTTGACATTGGACGTAGCATGTATTGGCATGAATACATATTTTTATATATGTAATTAGATTATGTAACATATATTTTTCCTCACTTATCTTGCTATTGTATGATGAGGTGTTCTTATCATAATCAAGGTTTCAAAAAATGCTAGGTGGCCCCTAATATGGCTGGCGTGGCACCCACCGCCCAAAGCCTTAGATGCCTTGTAGTACAAATTCTTTAGATACATGCATATATGTTTGCCCAAACGCACATATATGTATATATTAATGTCAATTTTACAATTTATTGCATTTGTATGCATTGTAACATACTTTTTATATACAAACATGTCGCATGTTAAGAATAACTTAAAAAATATCACAAATTTTTTTAAAAAGTTAAAATTCTGATACTCTGTGTATTAGAATTAGTCTCCAGCTCTCCGTATTCCATGATAACATGGACTCCAACTCTCCAGGTCTTAAACAAAGTTACAAAAGTCTAAACCCAAACAACCAATAGTCCAAAAGATTAAAAAGTCCAACATCAAAATATCTTAAGTCCAAACCAAGATGGTGCAATAAAAATAAAATATAAAACTACAAAAGAAGAGATAGGAGATCTGTGTTTCTCCAATTGTCATCAGTAAGAATTAGAATCAATATCATCATTTCTCACATATGCTTCTGAATCGATGCCATCATCATTGGAACTACCACCCTCTTAAACATATTGTTCTTCCACAATTTCTTTTGTATTGGGCTCCTCCTCGTCTATCTCCCTTGCCATCTGTGGGTGTGAAGTATCAGCAACAGTTGTTGTTCGAGTGGCCCTCCTAGGATTAGAAGCTAGACCAGCCTCCTTGACCATCTCCCAGGTCAAACCCTCCCCGAGGAAGACCTCCTCAGTGCCAGGGTCTTCTACTAGCCAATCAAAAGCATTCTCCCTGTCTTTCGAAGTGATGTGATCCTTCTTTTTGGTTAAAATTCTCCTTGATCCTAAACCATGTTATTGAGCTTCCTTTGCTAAAGCCTATTTCTTCTCTTTATACTAATAAAAAAAAATACATTAGTCGTGCACTACTAGTCTACTACTACTACTACTACTAATTGACCCAACTGTTAGTAATATACTAATGTATTATATCACATGTTAATATGTTTATATCTATTATCTTCTATGAATCTATATTAGAAAAATGAACTTGTAAACAAGAAAAAAATAAAAAATACTATCTCAAATGAACTCTAATTGCACTTACAACCAGAAGAGCTATGTCAAACTCAAGATTTGAATAGCCATGTTCTAGAGGTGTGGTGAGCGCAACTCTGATGTTGTCTCTACTATTGGGCTGCATTTAACATTATCATAAAGAATTTTACCAAATTTAAAATACAATATTAGTTATTAGGGACTTGAAAGAAAATTTCCGAATGAAAGTACAAAATGTACTATTATTACCTTGTTCTGCTTTGCTCCTCTATCATAGTGTCATTTCTTTCCCTAACGAATTCAAAACACATTTGTACAAAATGATCTCTTCAGTTTATATCTTATCTTGGACATTCGGCTCGGGAACTAATCTCTCAAAGCACTCATAAAACCTTTTATAATTGTATCTTTTGCCTCAATACCACCATCAGTATAAAAAAACCTTGGGCTTCAAGTAGTTCCCTGCTGTATATAGTGGTCTATAGAGCTGTCTATCCTACTTGTTATCTATAATCAACCAAATTGAGCCATATTTAGCCTCATCATTGCCTTGATTCTATGCAATCTCCTTTTTAGCTCCTACAAGTGCATCATATATAAAGTACATAGAGGGCTTATCAGCATCAACCAAGCTCAAGAACTTTACCAAGGGTAGAAATACTCATATTGCATGCTTTGCGCACAGAAAAAATATTTAGAAAGAATAATATATTGTGCCTTCTTTCCCTTAGCATCTCTAGACACCTCCACTTTCTCCAATCCTCTGAAGCAAACATAGTCCTCAGTGGGATCCTCCTTTTATACATTCTCTTAAGACTAAGATAGGCAATGGTAAATCTAGTGACCCCGAGCCTCACTGGGTCCCTCTTCCTAGTAAACTTTCATATCATGCTAAAGGTAATGGTGTGATTATATATGAAAATTGGGGTCAGGTGAGGCCTCGGGCCAGTTGGGCTATGCATCTAAGGGAGATTTGCGAGCCTCATCCTTGACCAACACGTATGCAACCAACAGGGGTCTTGACAGTAGCATTTTTCACTACGGTAAACAAGTTCTCCCCAAGCTTTTGCAAGCTATAAGCTTGCTTTGTTGTGCTCATGTGGCCTAGCCCTTATAGATATAATTTTATTTTTGGCTAGTTTTTACTCCATATACTTTAATAATATTTTGGTACATCCTTTTCCTAGCTTCCTATGAGGGTGACGTGGGGCTTTTTCTTTTGAAATGGGATGTGACATGTATTGCATGAGCACGGGTCTTCACATTTGTATTTATTATATCAACTATTGCGTTAACTTGCCACTTTTCTGACGAGGTGTTCTCATCATAGTCATTCTTTATATACCCCATCGTCACCCTTTATTAACTCTCTGACAATCTTGTATCTCTCTCTCTTCCCCCCCCCCTCCTTTCAATAGCCTATCTTTATGGGAGATCACATGCAGCTCCAAATTTTGTGATCTGATGAGGCCATGACTTGAGATGGGCATACAGTTTATACATGTACAAATTTTATTTTTCTAGTTCTTTTCTAGTGTAATCTATTAATAAATACAAGTAAATTTATTCATGTATTTCAGTATTTCCTATCAAGTCTTTGTGGTATTATTATTGACTGGAAGAAGTATCAGTTTTT